AGGCAGCCTCTAAGCCCCCTCAGGCCTTAGCCTCTTTTAGCTACTCCATGGGTGTCCTTCCTCGATCAACCAAAGCTTTCCAGTCACTCCTCCTCCCCTGAGTCCGACCTGCCCTATCTCACACTTCTACTCAAACTCCTAAGGGAACACGCAGACCAGTGCCTTCCTGTGCCATCCGTTACCTCTATCCCAGAATCACACCAGGATCTGAATCGGACCCTCTCTTCAACCTGGTGACGCAGTCTTACTTCAACAGCTGCATCCTCAATCATTGGAACCTCTCTGGACGGGACCCCCCTACAGTCATACTTACTACCCCAACGGCGGCCAAGTTCCTGGGCCATTCCCCCTGATGCCATGTCTCCTGCCTTAAGAAAGCACTGTTCCAAATGTCCAGTCCTGGACTTCCACCACGTGGAGGCCCACCAAACTCAAGATTTCTTGCCAACTCTCTCCTTCTTTTACTAATCATTAATCTCTCTCAAGCTTCTATCCCAACCCATAGATGGCACTTCTATATCCAAGTGACATGGCAGCAGGATGGCACCACTTGCTCTCAGTGTATGGGTCAAGGCGATTGCCCTTCCACTGGCTGCAATCGGGCGGTCACCCTTAACATTACTGGGTTCAAGCAGGCCACCTCGTCCCACTTATGTTCAGCAATGCTGTGCTTTATATCATATCAAACCGAGAAATCTTGTAAGTGCTGGCCTGACACCTATGGTAGGTTCCCTTATAATAATGGGCTTCTGGTGTTGATGATAAGTTTTATTCTGGGGGTTTTGCCAAGCACCCCTCAGCCTCTATCAGATTATGGAAAAATTATATGCAAGTGTTTCCTCAAATTCACATAACTGGGCTGGGGATGTGGCTCAAGTGGTAGCGCACTCACCTGGCATGCGTGCAGCCCGGGTTCAATCCTCAGCACCATATACAAACAAAGATGTTGTGTCTGCCGCAAACTAAAAAAAAAATAAATATTAAAAAATTCTCTCTCAAAAAAAAATTCACGTAACCATCCAGGAGCAAGAGAAGGAACTCCAACCCCAGCTGGATGCAGTTGCCCACCCTAAAGCTGACCCTTTCTCATGGATGACCCTAATACATCAGGGCCTTCAGCTTCTCAATTTACCCAAAGTTAATAACATTTCGGACTGTTTCCTCTGCGCAGGTTTGGATGGTACTCCGTTAACTGCGATTCCCATTGATCTTCCTCTCAACACCTCAACTAGACCCCAAGGACCCCTCCTTCTCCAGCCTTTGAGGAAGTCCCTCTTTTTTGTAATTCACCTGGGAATTTCCCCTGCTGCTACACTGTCTCTGGTTCAGCACCCTGTGACCCAATGGTTCATTCAGATTTCTTCCCCAACCTTTGCTCTGCCGGGGTTCTTTTCCTGGTGCAGTGGTACCCTAACAAAAATCTAAGCCTCAGCTTGTCCTTTGCTTTTTGTGCTCCTTCCATCTTGGTCCCCCCAATAATTAACTCTGTACAGTGAGGCTGAATTAACATGGCTTGTCACCACCTCCCTTTCCAGGGAAAGACGGGCCGTCTCTCTACCAATAGTGGTTGGAATCTCCCTGGCCTCCTCCTTTGCTGCCTTCAAACCAGGGGCAGGAGGACTTGGTTCTGCAGTAACCACTCTCGGAAGCTTGAACAACAACTCCGGGAAGTGGTAGAGGCATCAGCTGCCTCTCTCACTTCCCTACAAAGGCAGATAACATCCATTGCCCAAGTTTCATTACAGCACCGTGGAGCCCTCGATCTCCTGACAGCAGACAAAGGAGGAACCTGTCTATT